GATAACATGGCGCTGGGGGCAGTTGGTGGGTTTAACGCCTAGTTACTGAAAGATGGGGGATCTGGGTGGAGGAGGCCCAGTCCCGATCCGAGCAGGCTTAGAAATCTCTTGGAGGGTGGCGGGTTGAGTTTTCCTCCCCGCCCCAAGCAGAGCCCCAGCAGCTGAAGACTTCTGGTTCCAGCCACAGCCATGCGTAAGACCACTCTCCACACGTTCGGACAAGCCTCATGCATGAAGGAACCAGCAGAGGAACCTAGGTGTGCGGGACCTGGGGCTGAGATCTCCAAGCCTGCATGCCCCCAGCGCTGTGTTATCCCATCAAGGCCAAGACCCAGGGATTATAAAACCCAGCTCTGGGAAGCATGTGGCCGCATTCACAGCCTCATTACCTCTTATTATCTAGTTCTCACTCTTGGAGAACCCGACAGGCTACCAAGTGTATCCTGCCTGCACAGCAGAGTCTGACAAGCTCCCCAAAGCATATTCGGTATGCCAAAACCCAGTAACAATGATGGGTCTCAGTCCTCTGACCCTGAAGGAGCCTCCAATGTGGCACTTGTTAAAAATCTCAGGGCTAGGATGAATGGAGACGTTACTGGTGCCTGCTCGAGGAAATTGGTGAACAACAGGATGACAGTGATACAGTGATAGTGATTTTTTGGGAGGGCACAGCTACTGGCACTTAAGGGCTCAAACTCCAGTGGCGCTCAGAAACTGGACCCTGGCCTCTAGCATGCAAAGCACACATATGAGCCCTTTGAGCTCTCTCCCAGGCTCCTTGTAGCATACTCAGTAATACACTTAACTCAGCTTTAAAAATAAAATAAAGTGTCCTTCTTATCTAATCATCAAAGACTTGGGAGTCACCATTTTAGATTTCAAAACTATGTTCCTCCCGCCCCCCCACCCCCCCAAAAAACCAAAAAACTCTTCCTTTTCGATAGTTCTTAAATTTAGCACCATCAAATATAGATCTAAAAATCTATGTACATGCACGTGCGCATGCACACACACATATGTAGATAGTTTCAAATCAGGGTCAGATGTATTCTGTCAACTATTTCCTCCTTCCCTTTCCTTTGTTCAGGAACTGGGAGCTGCACATTTGGTTATGATGCTGGGAACCACAACCACAAATGTGCTGCCAGCATTGCACTTGGTGTGTGTGGTGGCGCCAGAATTCCATCTCAACCTCACCCTGCAAGACTCTACCACTGAGCTATTTCCAAACCCCTGCCAACTTATTTGTGATATTTGTGCTTCGGTTAAGCTTATTTTACTCACTGAATCCTTAAGTTAACATGAAATATGAAAATCTGAGCAGTTAAAAATAGCAGTTCTAAGTTGATAAATACCTAGATATGGTTTCCTATGTAGTTATAATGACTTTATATGCAGAGATTCCCCCCCCCCCCCCCGCTTTTTGGTAGGAAAGCATACCCAACAGAGCGCAGGGGACCATATGTGGTGCTGGGTATTGAATCTGGGTAGGTCCCATGCAAGGCAGGTGGATAGTACCAATGGTACTAATGGTACCTGTAGCATTGTAGCACTATTGTAGCAGGTAGCTAGTACCAATGGTACCTGTAGCATTGTAGCACTATTCTCCCGTTGTTCATCGATTTGCTCGAGCAGGCACCAGTAATGGTATCCATTGCGAGACTTGTTACTGTTTTTGGCATATTGAATACGCCACAGGGAGTTTGCCAGGCTCTGCCATGCAGGCGGTATACTCTCGGTGGCTTGCCAGGCTCTCTGACAAGGACAGAGAAATTGAACCTGGGTCGGCCGCATGCAAGGCAAATACCCTGCCCACTGTGCTATTGCTCCAGCTCTCCAACCTAAGAATTCTTAAAACTTTGAGCGCTGGGATATAGGGTATCGGGTTACTCCTAGCAGTGCTGAGCTTTCTCCTGGCTCTATGCTCAGGGAGCACTCCTGGTATACTCAGGGGATCGTAAGGGGTACAAGGGATCGAACTTGTATTGGTCACATGCAACGCAAGAGCCACTGAACTACTGTACTATCTCACAGCCCCCCTCAACATTCTTCTTTTTGGCTTTTTCGGTCACACCTGGTGATGCTCAGGGGTTACTCCTGGCTCTGTACTCAGGAATTACTCCTGGCGGTGCTCAGAGGACCATATGGGGTGCTGGGAATCGAACCCGGGTCAGGGGTCGGCTGCATGCAAGGCAAATGCCCTACCCGCTGTGCTATTGCTCCAGCCCCACCCCCTTGAACATTCTTAAGTAAAAAAAAAAAAAAGGAATGAAGGCCCTCCTTTTCAAACCCCCATTCAAGGATAAGAATCACTAACTCTTGTTTTTTTTTTTAAGACTATGCAGTGACTGGGGCTTACTCCTGACTTTGTACTCAGGGATCTCTCCTGGCAGGACTTGGGGGACCACACATGTTGTCAGGGATCAACTAGGTGAGCCACATGCAAGGTTAGCACCTTACCGCTGCAGTATCTTTCTGGCGACTTCATTTTAATTTTTTTCCAACCTTATTACTTTTCTTGTGAGTGGGGGAAGAATGGGAGTTCATGTTTTGTCTTTTCCTTTTCATCATTCTTACTTTTTGGACTTTCCAAACAGTGCCCAGAAGATTCTGGACATGCAGGAGAGAGTGGGATATGCAGGCTGGATGCTTCTCATTTGTATTGAACGCAGTGATGCTCAGGCCTAGCCATGCAAGGGGCTCCCAGGGCCACAGCAACTGTGCTGGGGATCAACTGTAGGCCTCCTGCATGCCAGACACGTGCTCCAAACTCTGGCACAGTCTCCTAGATCCTCTTCCACTCTCCTTTGGGGAAATATTTTTCTTTAAAACCAATATCCAGCAGGCAAAAACTTAGCTCCAAGGTTACTTAGCACCATCTTAGTCTACCTGGGGCCTGTAAGCCTGTACCTGTCATCTGACTGGCTTCCACCCTTCCCAAACCCAAACCTTTCCATTAGTCTGGGCAAGCAATCAAAATATTCTCTAATTCTGCCATTTCTAGTTCATGGAAAATTATTTGCAGGTCCTTTGCAGTCTTTCCTGAGGAACCAAATATGATATGGAAAACAGGAATAGAATTGCCTAGAGGGAGGAAGAAATCATTTGGATTCCTCCTATCTTGATATCATACTGGTGGCCCAAAACAGAAACTGAGATTCTTAAAACACGAGGCTTTGACTATGGGGTCACTGGCACAGCATACAGATAATTTAAATGAAATAATGGTTTGAGTTTCTCCATAATTACACTTGTTATTTAAACAGCACTGAGCAAAGTGTGTACAATGGTTACTTACAAAGCCAGTGACGTGCTCAGTGAGTGAAAGAGCACATGCCTTGCTATATGTTTAGAGACCCAACACCACCCATGTCCTCAAAAACCATTTCCCGCACGGAAACAAATTAAGTAAAATGTGAATTTTGCTTTTTTGAGAGGATCACACTCAGCTAGGGTCACAACTTTACCTTGGATATTTAATCCTGGCAGTGCTGAGAACTGGACGTGGTGCTAGGAATCAAATTTGTGTTGGTCACATACAGGGCAAGAGCAAACTTTGTATTCTTTCTTCAGTCCAATGTGAGAATCACTAAAATTTTAATAATACTGCCCCAAACTCACATCTTCCTCTATGGCTAACATTAGTTGTAGTGCAGTGTTGAAGTCAGTCACTTGATTTTTCGAGTTTTCACTTACAAATGTACTTTCCCAAGTCCTTTCACCACCGACCTCCCAGACTTACTTCTGCTAGAATATTTTCAATCTGTTTGGTTTTTGAGCCACACCCAACTGTGCTCAGGGCTCACCCCTGGCTTTGTGCTTAGAGGTCACTCTTGGCAGGGTTTGGGGTGCCATATGAGGTGCTGCAGTTCAAACCTGGGTCAGCTGCATGCAAGGTAAGAGCCATACCCCTGGTACTATCGCTCTAACCCCTAAGGGTATCTTCAATCCAAAAGTGGATTTGAGTTGCATAAAGTTATCCACAGAAAGCCCAGGTATAGTGAGATATTAGCCAGTCAGTCTAAGGTTAGACTACATATTTAATAATGAACTAAATTAACCCAGAGGTCTAGTTTGAGATAAACCTGTTTTGATATTTCTAAAAGAAGTGCAATTTATAAACGCAGCTGTATATAGGCACACATTGCAGGTAGAGAAAACAGTCACTGACTCCATCCTCCATCAACAATGACATTTGCTGAGAATTTTCTTCCTGTGCTGCCCAGGGAGTGAGCTGCCACATTATTCTTCTGACTACCAAGGAAAAAAACTAGACGAAAGGCACCAGAGGTGGGCCTCAGGAAGTCCTGGGGAACTTTGGCTGTGAAGGAAGGGAGCAATAAGGTTCAAACACATTCATGAAAGAAGGAAAACCAAAACACTTGCTTTGGGCTAGAGATAGTACAGCAGGCAAGGCTCATGCCTAGTAAACTGCTGACAGTTTGATCCCTGACACCCCGCATGGTCCCCAGGTACCATCAGAAGTGATTCCTGAGTGCAGAGCCAAGAGTAAGCCGTGAGGACCACCAGATATGGCCCCTTCAAAAAAGGAAAAAGAAAAAGCTTGTGTCTACTTCCTAGCCCCTTCCTCAGTGGCTGGTATAAAATCAAGAAAGGGGTGGTTTAGTACATTTTATTTTCTTTGCTTTATTAACAGTTCCGGGTCAGTAATTCTGCAGATGACATGATATCTGTGACAAGAGGCATATTACACACAGGACTACTTATACTTCCTCATACTTCCTCATACTGGGGGAAGCCATGTGAGGAAAGGAAAACTCTCCCAACAAAACTACAATTATTCTGGTTTCTAATTTTTTCCTTGGGTACTTAAGATCATACCAATAATAAAGGTTCCTGATCAAGTGACATAACAGACATAAACTTGGCCAAACAATAAACATGAAGTTAGTTATAAATGCATCACAAAAAATACTGTATCATGTAAAATATTAAAAAGAGAAAAACTACTAAGAGTAAAAACAAACACAAAATACAAATTTACTTTGAAAAATCCGATTTTATTTTCTGAATCAAAAAGTATATGTTAAATTCAGAATGTTAAACTTTCCATTGATCTCTAAAATACTTTCCAGATATTGTTAACAGTGCTCAGAACTGTGTAAAAGTTAACATCCAATACCATATTTTAAAGAAAAAATTTAAACGTAGAATCTGATTCTAGAAATCCTTCTCAAAGGTCACAGAATTGGCCATTCTAATTTTAAAAGAAAAAAATTTTAGTATTATTGAAAATTTAAGTGACAGCGGTTTTCAAGAATTAAAAGATTTCTAGAACAGAAAAAAAAATGCTGAGGGGGCATGCCTAACAACAGTCCAATCAAACATAACTGTGCCTGCTAAGTTACTAAATGCATTAATGAACTTGGAAAAGAGAAACAGTAAAATGGAACTTACAAATTATACTCTATGCATATGTTCACAAACCATTTTAATTGTCATGTTTGCTGGAATTGTGAAATGAAAACCAAATTTTACAACCAAAGGGCAAATGCTCATTGTTTATTGAAGAGTCCACCAATTCTTTGTTTTCTACCCCCATATTTTAAAAGCATGACCCAAGCCAGGAGTCACTCCACATATTGGAAATGAACAGTTAGCTGAACTGGTCCTACTCATGTCCTTTAACAAGCCCAGAACTCCAAAGTGGGGGTGTAAAAGAACATGATTTAGATCACTTTAGCATTCTAAAGTACCTCTGACCTCAAGTCCCTACAGTCTAGGAAACAGTGCTCACAGCTAGTCACTGTGTACGGAAGCATGTCCAGCATGCAGGCAAACGTTATTTGTTCAAATTGAGGTAAAACAGACAAAAAAAAAATAACAGAAGCTGCACAATTAAAACTAATCTTTCGTTATTTCACAGAAATTGGTTTTTATGTTTTCTCACAAGAGATGCTAAAGCCAGTAAGTTGTTTCTCCAATTTCAGGTGCCACAAAGGGGGGAAAAAAAAAAGAAAGAAAAAAAGGAGGCTTCTTTCAAGGTCATTATTGATTAAGAATTTTTTGAGACAAAGAAATTTTTTCCAGAATCTGCATTTTGTACTTAGCATGATATAATTTCTTATGACTTTTCAAATGCAGAAGGAACCCATATCTGCATACTATCTGTATTTTCTCAGATATCAAGCCATGCTGACAGAATTCAAACCTGTCATGTCTTCATACAGACAAAAAAGTTTGCTAACACTTTCAAAATACCAATAACTCTTCTCTGAAGCATAAGATTGCTGAAATTTTGTAGTTATGATTAGTTTTCTAATACAAATACAGATTTAAATCTTGATTTGGGGGGAATCAACGGGTCTGTCAAATTTGCTCCTCTTTTAGGTTTCAAATAAAAACAAAAGAATGAAAATTAACCAACTGGCAACAAGTCCCATATTTCAATGTTATTTTTGAATGAGCAATTATAACTTACTGCCAGTAATTATATGTATCTACTTATTTTTATTAAATAAGTACTGGCCAGTAATATAAAAGAATAATTTGCAAGATTGGTACTTGGCACTGGGTTACCTTAATGCTTCTAGAATAAACAGAAGCATTTAGAAAATACCAGCTCTTTAGCACTATATTACTCTGTAATTTAAATATCCAAAAGCATTTTTAAATGTTAACATTTCCACTGATGGAGACTAAGGAGTATAGTTGCAGTTAACACAGTTGATTTTAAAACACAAATCCCTAAGCTACATAGTAATGGAATACCACACTTGTTTTATATATCTTATGAAAAAGTTCCAGGCAGACCAAAAGTCTGGCAAATCAAAGTATTGTAGATGAAGTTCATCTATGTACCCCAGAGCAGAAAAGCTAAAAGAAAAAAAAAGAATATTCCTTGCCCACCAAGCGAAAACCCACCCAAAATTCTTTAGTTCTGAGCCTAACATTTCTCGAAATTATGAATAGGAGAAACTTTTAGGTACTTAAAAAGCTGTCACCAGTAACTGTTGTAACTGCCATACTACAGAGGAAATGCCATAAAGAATTCAGCTGCCCACCCACCCCTAACTACCCCCACCCCAATAATATGTAAAAGCTCCTATTAAAGGGTTTTTCTTATGCTAGTCAAGGCATACCACCTAGTGTGCTACAGACTAAAACTAGCAGCATTAGAGCAGTCAAGTGAACATAGGAAGCAGACAGGAATGAGCTAAATGCCTACTTAGAAGAAACAAAGCAGCAGACAGGACCCTTTGCCCTCATGTTGTGTTTTCAGGGAAGTGATTGAATTAAACAGTCAGATTTACCCACATTAACAAAAATTTAACAAAGCGTTCCCAAGACACCAGAAAAAAACCTGACCTTTCCAGTCAAAGGGCACACAGAGGCCTCCTCCATATCCTGGAGTTGAATGAGTTCAAAGATTGGCAATAAGGAAAAAAGAATGCGTGAGGGTTGTGATGGAAACAAGCTCTGGAGTTTATCGAACAGTCACACCAAGTTTCTCCAGCACACGGACACCCTTTTCTTGGTATTCTTGTCGGGTCATCCAGAAGTTGTCTTTGTCTTTCATGATATCTGCAAGAACTGCACCACCCAGGAATACCATGTGCTTTCTGCGGGGTGGGTCTTCAATGCGGATCTTGAATTTCTAAAGGAGGAAGAGGAGATAATAAGCTGTCACACGTACACAGTGTTTTCTGCTGGACAGAAATGATTGTTCCCCCGAGTCTCTTGTGACACTTTCGGAGCAGTCCCGTGAGTGAAGCAGGACAGCAGGATTGGGTGTGGAATGGGCCGGTGCTCACTGTTAGCGGACCACAGGGCCCTCCCGGTGTGCTTGTACAGTCCTGAGGGATACCCAGGCCCCATGACTGGACACTCTCAAGAGTGACCTGATTCAAATGACAAACTACATGATGATACCACCGAGATCACAAGGACCAGTGTCCTACGCAGCAGGTTCCCCATCAATTAGTAGATGAGCAAAAGACCAAATCAACTCAGCTACCACTTTTGGAGCGATAGCACGGTGGAAGGACATTTGCCTTACAAGCGGCCAACATGGCCGACCCGAGTTCGATTCCTCCGCCCCTCTCGGAGAGCCCGGCAAGCTACCGAGAGTATCTCGCCCGCACGGCAAAGCCTGGCAAGCTACCCGTGATGTATTCGATATGCCAAACACAGTAACAACAAAGTCTCCAATGGAGACGTTACTGGGCCTGCTCGAGCAAATCGATGATCAACGGGAGGGCCTTTACCTTTACCACTTTTGGATAAGGACTACTTTCTTTTTCTTAAGTGTAGTTCAGGTAACATGGTTACAAGTGTTGACATTTATACTTTTACTGTACAAAGTCACTGCAACTCCACCACCACCAAAGTGTTTGAGACCCTCTCCCACTGCCCTGATGTCACTTTGATCTGCCTCTGGCCCCCAACTCCAGTCCCCTCCTACTACCTGGTAACCTCAGTTCAAGAGTCAAAACCCAAGGGTTTGTTATCATAGGTACTGTCAATCTTCTTGCTTTGTTTCTTTATAGGAGTAAGATCAGCTGGTACTTTATTTTTTCTATAACTTATTCAACTTTATATGACCCCCTCTAAGCTCCATAGGACTTTATTTTTTTTCTTTTAACACTGGTGATGCACAGGGGTAATTACTCCTGGCTTTGCACTCAGGATTTACTCCTGGAGGTGCTCAGGGGACCATATGGGATGCTGGGACTCAAACCCAGGTCAGCCACAAACAAGGCAAACGCCTTACCCACTGTGCTATCACTCCAGCCCCAGGACTTTTATTTCTTCAAGGTATAATGTCACTATGAGTCTAGTCCTGTGCAACAGAGTAAGCTTAAAATCTTTTCTTGCAAAGACATTTTCTATTATCTCAAATTCAAATGGGAAGTTTTCAAAATAAACAAGATCAAATATGGCCAAAACAACCCCTGGGGTGTTGGGAAACAACAAATACTATATAACAAATTAAAAACAATTAGGATAAAATTCGTACTCTAAAACCACTTTTGTCTAATAGTGACCTCAATTTGAATGATCTGTAAACTTCTGACAGAGAAATTTTTAAATGACATAGTAACAGAACTTAAAGAGAGTATAATAGGTAGGGCGTTTGCTTTGCATGTGGTTGACCTGGGTTTGATCCCTGGCATCCTGTAGATGAAGGCCATGAGGAGTCCTTGAGCGCAGAGTAGAAATAAGCCCTGAACATCACTGGATTTGACTCAAAACCAAAACGAAAAAAGGGGTAGGAGAGGAACGCAGAGAAATAGCAGGCAAGTAGGGTGCTTGCCTTGCAAACGGCAGACCTGGGTTTGATCCCCAGTACCCCAAGTCCACCAGAAGTGAGTCCTGAATGTAAAGCAAGGAGTAACCTCTGAGCACAGCAGAGTGCAGCCCCAAAACAAAACAAAAACCAAAAAGACATAGCATATCTTAACTATACGCAGAAAAACTCAAAGTAACTGTCATTCTTTTTTTTTTTTTTTTTTTTTTTTTGCTTTTTGGGTCACACTCAGCGATGCACAGGAGTTACTCCTGGTTCATGCACTCAGGAATTACTCCTGGTGGTGCTCGGGGGACCATATGGGATGCTGGGAATCGAACCTAGGTCGGCTGTGTGCAAGGCAAACACCCTACCTGCTGTGCTATTGCTCCAGCCCCGTAACTGTCATTCTTAATAATAGATCTTCACATCCCATATACGAATCATAGACTACAGATATTATAAATAAATTCTGCAGGTAACCTTCCACTTTAATTGTTCTGGTAACTTTCTGCTTGTTAAAGTGAGTGGGAGAGTTAAAACCTTGAGGCTTTTCGGTCTCTTTAGCAAATCTCCAGTGCCACAGTAAGACTCGGCCAAATAGGTCAATAGGTCACTGTCACTGTCCTCCCGTTGTTCATCGATTTTCTTGAGTGGGCCCAGTAACATCTCCATTGTGAGACTTGTTACTGTGTTTGGCATATCAAATACGGCACAGGTAGCTTACCAGGCTTTGCCATGCGGGTGATACTCTTGGTAGCTTGCCGGGCTTTGCCGTATGGGTGAGATACTCTCGGTGGCTTGCCGGGCTCTCTGAGAGGGGTGGTTGGCTGTGTGCAAGGCAAACACCCTACCCGCTGTGCTATCGTTCTAGCCCAAGAGACAATAGGTAACACTACGTAAAGGAAGAGGCCTGGCTACGTCCAGGGAAGCTTGCTTTCTGAAACCAACCAATCTGCCCACAGGCTGAGGTCTGCCCCCAAAGCAGTGGAAGGGAAATGGGGCAGCCCCTGAAGACCCTGGTGCTCCCCAGGATTCGCAACAAGTCCACAGACCTTCCTCACCCATCGCCCAAGGACACTCTTTGTTGCCGCATCTGTCTCGCTCCTCCCGGCCATGCCAAGGGCCCCTCCCTGAAACTCTGCCAGACTATCCCCACACAGCAGTCTCCTTGCCCAGGTTATCTATAGATCTTCAGATTATTTTTGTCCCAGACAAAACTGCATGCAAGTGGTCTCCCCACCACTTCCCGGAATAATTCTCAGTGACTCTGCCCCTCTCTCCGCCTCAGACTCTAAAGGCAAAGCAGCAATTCAGGTGACCGGCTCTCTACTTTGCATGTGTGCTCAAGCAACTAACAGCAGAGAAACTCATCATCTCTCTTCAAATATATGCCTTATCCTAACCCATCTGCCCATCTCTTCAGACCTCTGCTTCTACTTGGAACCTCCATCTCCGCCCTTGAAGAACCTTCAAACTGGTCTTTTTTTTTCTTTTTTTCTTTTTTTTTTTAGCTTTTTGGGTCACACCCGGCAATGCACAGGGGTTACTCCTGGCTCTGCACTCAGGAATTCCTCCTGGCGGTGCTCAGGGGACCATATGGGATGCTGGGAATCGAACCCAGGTTGGCCAGGTGCAAGGCAAATGCCCTACCCGCTGTGCTATTTCTTTTAGTCACTGCACCACAACCCTTCCCGCTACGCTATTTCTCCAGCCCCTCCAAACTGGTCTTTCTACAGCACTGTTCTTCCTCCCTTTGCCCACAGTTACTACACCAGACTTGAGGATTCCTTAAAAACTAGTCAGATCCTTGATTCTCTGCTCACAATCCTCCTGCAACTTTTGATCTCACTAGGAGCAAAACCAGACTCTTTTCAGTGGCTGAACTGAGACTTGCTAACCCATCAGTCTTCTGATCACACCTCCTCATCTGTCCACTCTGCTCTATCCGCACAAAGCCCGGCTCTGGCCACTGGCAGGTCACCTTTTAGAAGCTGCCCAGCCCCACATGCAGGTCTCTGTCCCGGTTCCTCATCGGAGAGGTTTTCCCTGTTCACAACAACGGCAGGAACACAGTTTCCCCAATTACTACTGTGCCCCAGTCCCTAACTTACCTTACTTTTCATCATAGTGCTTATATGACAGCCATATCACCAACAGATTAAAAACAGGGCTTTTACCTTGCTTCACTTTGTTCTGTCCCCCACCATATATATCAGTGTTTAGCACCCAGAGTGGATATATGAATAACTTATAACTCACTAAAATCCTAAAATGAGTTAATATGGTTCCATTTTAATATTTTTGGGGGGCATACCCGTGATGCTCAGAGGTTACTCAGGGCTTAGGAATTACTCCTGGAGGTGCTCAGGGTTATCATACGCAATGCTGGGGATTGAGCCTAGGTCGGCTGCATGTAAGGCAAGCACCCTACTCGCTGTACTACCTCTCCAGCCCCCTTTTTAACCTCTTAATTTGCTGAATGGACTGCAAATTCTCAATTTAACAATTTAAATAAATCCCACATGAAAGATATAACATTCATGTCTATAATATAGTCCTCCACAATATGTAATTTCATTATCTAAACCAGCTGATCAGTGATACAACGCTTAGATTAACACACAACTAAATAAGTCTATACACATATACATAATACATACACCCACACACACTCTTCAAGCACACTCCATAGTTTGTAACAAAAAAGCTATTACATATTTAATTTCTTTCTATATTTACATTTTAAAAACTACCAAAGATACAGCTACACAATGGAGTACTATGTAGCTGTTAGAAAAGAGGAAGTCATGAAATTTACATACAAGCGGTACTACATGGAAAGTATCATGCTAAGCGAAATGAGTCAGAAAGAAAGAGACAGACATAGAAAGATTGCATTCATCTGGGGAACATAATAAAGTAACAAAATAGGAGACTAACACCCAAGAATGCCGAGATAAGTACCAGGAGGTTCACTCCATGGCTTGGAGGCCAGCCCCACATGCTAGCTAGAGAAGGGAACACCAAAGAAAGGGTATTGGGAGGATCCTCCCAGGATGGGAGATGCATGCTGAAAGTAGACTATAGACTGAACATGATTGTCCTGCCACAGAGGGAGGGTGAGATGGGGGGATAGGAGGTGGGAGGGATACTGGGACCCGTGGTGGTGGAAAATGGGCACTGGTGGAGGGATGGGTATTTGATCATTGTATAATTAAAATCCAAGCACAAAAATTTGTAAGTCTACAACTGTACCTCATGGTGTTTTACTAATAAAAATTTTTTAAAAAGTAGACTATAGACCGAACATGATTGCCCTGCCACAGAGGGAGGCTGGGATGGGGGGGATGGGAGGGGTGGGAGGAATATTGGGATCATTGGTGGTGGAGAATGGGCACTGGTGGAGGGATGGGTATTTGATCATTGTATAACTGAACCCAGCACAAAAATTTGTAAGTCTACAACTGTACCTCATGGTGTTTCACTAATAAAAATTTAAAAAAAAAAACACACACACAAAAAACTACCAAAGAAAGCATTTCAAGAACTATGATAGCTAATGAGCTTGTAAAATGATTGCAGACACAGTATTTTACATTTTCATTGGAGAATCAAAGCATACAAAGAATAGAAAATAGCCTAGAATAAGAAAAGTGAGTCCAAAAATCATACTAAAGGCTAATTGCATACTTAGGAAAAAAGGTTAAAAGAATTCAAAACGGACTAGATGGCAAGTACGGCAGCTAGAGCACTGCCTCACACCCAGCAAACCTGGGTTCCATTCCCAGCACCCTGAGCCTGTCAGGAGTGTTCCCTAAGTACAGAGCCAGGTATGGCCCCAAACGTCTCCTCAGTAGCACAGCCAGCACTTCCCATGTAGTAGAGGCGCCTGGGATTTCAGATAGTGCTGCCCTCCAAGAGAAGAGGCCATAAACTCACTCTGCTTTCCAATCTCCTCAAGGTCACAGGTGACTGTGACTGCACTAGGTTTAGAAAGAACTCTGGCTCCATCTGGTGGTTGTCTAGAGTCACAACTATCTCATAGCGTGTTTAATGTTCAGATGGATTATTAATACTTACAGAAAGTTTCTCAACATCTCCCTTCAAAACTCGTTCTAAATAAAGTTGTTTAAGTTCTCGTTCCAATCTGGATGGCAGCCCAGGGTACATAGTAGATCCTCCGGAAAGCACGATATGCTTATAGAATTCAGATCTAGAAAGACACATAGGTATTCAATGGGGTTGCAGATTAGGTTACTGGAAGAAGTAATGAAATTCAGTGTATGTCACAGGACTTAATAAGTTTGCTATTCTTATTATTCTCTGTTATCATTCCAGTGTTAGTATATGTGCTGCTAAAGCAAGTGATAGCACAGCGGGTAGGGTGTTTGCCTTGCACACGATCTACCTAGCCGACCCGGGTTGAATTCCTTCGCCCCTCTCAGAAGCTACCGAGAGTATCTTGACTGCACGGCAAAGCCTGGCAAGCTACCCGTGATGTATTCGATATGCCTAACACAGAAACAACAGGTCTCACAATGGAGATGTAACTGGTGCCCGCTCAAGCAAATAGATGAACAGGAGGACAACGCTACAGTGGACAGTGCATTCTTATTATTGTTAGATAATAAATTCTTATTTTTTAGTTCCAGGAACTGATCTTAGGGCATGAGAGAGTTCAATACTCTATCCCTGATGCTCAAAACCTTTTTCATATGAAATTTATTATAGTTTAGATGAAAATAATTGGGTGGTGAGGAGGAGGACACTGGGCCATACCAGGGGCTATTCTCAGCTCTGTTCACGGGCTATTCCCAGCTCTGTTCAGGGGTATTCCCAGCTCAGGAGTGACATCTGGTGGTGTTCAGGGAATGTGGTGCTTGGGAGCTGAACCACATCGGTGGGATGCAGGCAAACAGCCTAACTCCTACACTATCTTTCTGGCCCCCAAAATCCTTCCAAAGCACATGGCATGCTTTCTGATGAGGGTAATGAGTTTTTCACTGATAGACATGGTTTTTATAATGAATGTCAGCATCTGGACTGTGTTATCAGAGAACTTCCCTGAAGCTGTGAAATGCATCTGTTTGCCATAACAAACATATTTCGTATTTTAACATATTTCTTTTCAGTTTTTCTCCTTTGTTTTTTTGCCTTGGGGTTTCCACTCTCATTTTTTTTCAAATTAGAGAAGGTGTTTGCTTTTCAGAGCACCCTCTTTTTCTTAAGCTGTTAGCTATGAAAAATCTAAAATAACTGATATGTAGTAAAAATAACAATCCATTGGTTTTTAACCTTTTTACAAATCTGTGAATTGGCAACAGTCACAGATCAGCAGTTGAAAAACCATCCATCCAAATGAGAAGTGAAAACTCAAGTCATAGCCAGCTTAAGCTTGTTCAAACTGGCTTCTAGATTTTTACAAATTTCCAGTAGCTCAAGCTACTCTAATTCTATTTTCAAGAAAAGCAATGGATTTAGATATATTTAGTGGTGCCAGGGAGCTTTACACTTGTGAGGAATGCTCTCTACTTCTGAGCTACATTAAGGCGACACGGGCCCGATGTGTACTTGGGTTTAATTAGAGAAGCGTGAGGAATGTTGCCTAAGCCAAGTAGGTGAAATATGACTCCATGCGAACTGTAATCAAGAGCACTAAATGCACTCACCACACAGAACACACACACAAAAAAATTGTGCTCTTTAAAACATAAATATTATTGTAGTAAAAAACCAAAGAAAAACCATTCTCCCCTCTTCCCTTTGGGTAACTGGGAGTGAAGACACAACGGGCTGTCTTGTCTTGTCTATCAGGGTGCATAATGACACACTCGGCTGCAGTGCTCAACAAGAACTTCAATCCTTCAAGTGTGTGGTGGTACTTGCACACATGCCTACTGGGGATGGTGTTCTTTAGTGACTGTGCTTGTTTAGGGCTTGCTATGTGTTTACAAACACTCAGTAGGAGTAGTATTTCCAAATTGTGGTGCTCGCCAGGGATCATGTCCTTATTTTCAGTTCTGGTGCTCACACACACCTGGCTGCATGTGTGGTGCCGGGAATCATGAATAGCAGAGCAGCTGGGCCAAACAACAGAGGTGCAGGACAATGCGCAGTGAAATGTGGCAGCACTGGGATGGAACCAGGCATCTGATGCTGGCAGGGCAGGGGAGCTAGGCCCCTAAGCTATCTTCGAGGCCTGAGTTGTGCTACTTTCCAGTATTTACTCTGTGGAAGAGGAGCCTAACTGCTTCAGGAACACCAAATCTTTCCTTAACAACAGGCGTGTGCTTTTAAGTAGTTAATGGTCACCAAATCAAGGGAGAAAAGCACCTATACCATCCCTGCATGTCACAGCAGTGTATCTGATACGGAGGCACAGACAGGTGTGTGTCAACCGTGCAATTAAACTCAACAACCCTCAGCAAGAATGGCAACTATGTCTGAGCACTATGTCTATATGTGTGATCCCCAGCAAGTATGTGTGTAAACACAAGCAAATGCATGATCCCAGTTACCACAACATCAACAATGGGAAGAGAAAGGGCCTGGGGAAGAGTACATGCATTACTCTATCAAGCAACTCAAGAGAGAGCATGATAAAGCAAACAGGCAAAAAATAAAATGGAAATCAAGCGTGCAGATGAAGTCTCTGTTTTACTCTTGCAACTTAAACTTTAAATAAGAATAAAAAGTTTATTCTTGGAAGTTAACTCAAAAGAGAGAGTAAAAACACATGCCCAGCATGTGTCCCTGAATTTGATCCCTGACCTGGCATGCCAACCACCACCCAACCAAGCACCACTGAGCATAGCCGCTAAAAAAAAATTACATTCATGGGTTAAAGTGCTTGCCTTTGCACAGAGCCAACCCTGGTTTGATCCTCTGTACCACATACAGTCCCCCTGCCCAGCACTGCCAGGAGTGATCTCTAATAGAATCAAAAAGTATACCCAACCACTACCAGGCGTGGCCACCAAATCAAAAAATTCTATTCAGTGCCTCCTATCAAAAGATTGTTTTGTAATCATTATTCAAAAACATGAGATATTAAACAGTTTGGTCATTCTATTCACAGTCCATCTATTCATGATAAATAACCTTGAAATGACATTTTCTACTTTACCTGGTGTCAATGTCAGCCGCCTGTATTGTGTTAAAAAGCAATTCAGCAACACCCACACCCTCCACATTGATCAAATGCGGCTGAAACAAAGCTTCTGGGGCTTCGAATCTCTCTCCCCCAACTTTGATAATGCGACCATCTGGGAGCTAGAAACCAAGAAAAACCAGGTTATTGGTCAGCAAGAGATTGAAAAAATGTCCTAGTGTTCTCTACACAACCAGTACTTTTATACATATCTGTTCTAAAATCAAAATAATTTTCAAGATAGTTCTCCTGTATTACATTTTTGGTAAAAAGGGTGGGAGCGGGAAAGGGGTAAAATGAAGTATATCTACATAGTAACTTTTCTGCGCTTTGTTCTGCTTTAAAATGGTGCCATGCTCCTTGGCATCGGGGACACCTTCAAGACCCCCAATGCCAAGTGCCCACTGGTGTGGACAAGCAAGCGGCCTCAGCAATCACTGGGCCTGGATTCCTGCTGCTGTCAACAGTGCCTGTCTTACCAGGTGATTGGGAATTTTCACCATGTAGCAAGGGCATATTATATTTTTTAATTTTTCTCTTCCCTAATAATCTGAAAGTGTATTATTTTATTATTTTTCAGTGAAAATACTGCATTACACCTCATACTTCTGTCAAATTATTCAATACAAAAAATGTTTCATGATCAAAAAAGTTTAAGGACTATTGATGCAGGCTACTTCTTATTACACAACTGCTATAGACTTCCTTAGTAGGTTCTATTAAATTTTACCTACTAAATATAATTTTAATTTAAGCAAGTAAAATTTAAACACGTCAGATACTGTTACAACATGATCTTGTAAAGATGACACTTAAGTCACATCATGTTTATTTTCAATAAAATGAAAAATGTTAGGTAGTAACTCCCTTGCTTAAATGATCTCACAATTCACTGAAGTGACCTAAATATGCTAGCATTTGACACATTTATGAGATACCATAATTAGTTTTGCACTGACATTTGTTTATAACATAATTAATAGTAATTATATTTAAATTATAAAACCAACTTTCCAATAAAACAAAATGCCACAAAGCAAAATTTTAAGATACTCCAAGTCGGTTATAATTATCTGTATATAGAGCAATCACATTTTCCAAACTCTGTAATTATCTTTCTGTAAATCACATCAAATTTCTAAAATAAGTTAGATACCAATCTAAATACTTATCCTTAAAAAAAAACCCAAAACAAAAAATGTAACTAGTAGCTGAGAACCACATGAAATCATCCAAGATACCTGGGAAAACCTCACGTGACAGAAAGCATTATAATCAAAACTCTCTTGAACCTTGCACTTTTGGCCTGATGGTTAATACGGCTTCTCTCAATGCTCTGCTGCTGGCCAACAGGAGACAAGTTTCCTACCTGCCTTTGTGAACTGTTAAAGACTATGTAATTCTGGGCCTGGATACAGCTTAATGGAAGAGTACTTGACTTCCATGTGAGGCCTCAAGTTCAATCCCGGTCACAACATATATAACCAAAACACTATATGGTTTCAATATTTCTTCTTTTCTGGTTCCCAATTCATTACATTAAATCTTTTCTTATTCTTTATCTATTCTTCATTCACTTATCGTTTTATTGGTTTTTTTTAAAAAAAATTATATATTTTTTGTAAGCTATCTCAGCTCTTCGATGAAAGAAGAAAGAAAATGCCTCTTACATTTCTAGTATGTTATCTTTTGTCTCACGGTACTACCATAAGGCAGGGAGATGGACAATCAGAAATCTACAGTTAGTCAAGAAGGTATTAGGGGGAGGGGGAGTAAGCCCAAGGCAAATCAGGTTGCAAAGTAGGTTTTACCAACTAGGACTCACAAATAAATCTTGAAAGAGAGCAACAAGCTGCAGAGATGCCTCCACACCCCACACTGCGCCAGGTTGAATTCATCCAGGGCACCGCAGAGCGGGGCAGGGGAGCCCACCTCCTGCTCCTACAGAACCCCAGAAGCCAAAAACCTCCAGAAAACAATAGTTGCCATGCTCATGGCCAATCTCCACAGGCTCGGGACGAGCCCCCCATGCATGAGAATGAATCTGCTGAAAAACTCAAGTATGCAGGTTTTGTGACCAAAATCTCTAAGCTCACACAGAGTCAGGAATGGGCCACCTCCTTCCATTTCCCTATGCTTCCGGGAGGCTGGTAGTCACGCCCACGAACTATCTCTGGGCGCCAAATAAGCTCATTAACAGCTATCATCCAGAGACTCACAAATAAATCTCTGAAGAGAGCAATATAAGCTGCAGAGATGCACTTAATTTCAACTGTATCACCCTTTTTAAAATATTAGAATTTATCTCACACTCTACACCACTGAAAAACCAAGAATAGCACACCACATTTGACGGAGTATATAGTAGAAGGCAACCAATCTCAATATTGCATATTTGCACACAAGACTCAACTTGTAACAACAAGTTCATAATCTCTTACACAAGGGCTTAATGGCTTCAAGGTGAAATACAACAGTCTTCATACATTTTCTTCAAATGAAACCTTTTTGAATCATTTTTAGCAGATTACTTTTAACAAGCAATAAAAAATACATTATTTATGATCTGCTTTTGGGGTAGGCTTGGGGGTGGTGAGGAAATTGAAAATAATGGTGGTGGTAAGGTGTAAAGGTGGTGGGTTTTGGGTTAGAATATTGAATGTAATAAATTATTGTGAACAATATATAGTTAAAAATAATTTAAAAAAAGAGTGCCTTTCACTGACTACTTGGATCCTTTCTTTTAAAAATAAAACTATATGGGGCTGGAGAGATAGCACAGCAGGTAGGGCGTTCACCTTGCACATGGCCGACCCGGGTTCGATTCCCAGCATCCCATATGGTCCCCTGAACACCGCCAGGAGTAATTCCTGAGTGCAGAACCAGGAGTAACCCACCTATGGGGCCAGAGTAATAGTACAGCAGGAAAGACATTTGCCTTCCATTGCTGACTTGGTTTTGATCCCAGGCATCCCATATGGTTCCCTGAGAACCACCAGGAGTAATTCCTGAGTACAGAGCCAGGAGTAACCCTTGAGCATCGCCGGGTGTGACCCAAAAAGCAAAAAAAAAAAAAAAAAATTATGATTCATAAAGATTAAAGCATTTTTGTCTATACTCTAGGGCACTCTACATGGTACCAGGGATCAAACCAAAGACAGCTGTACTAGGGGGAAGTGCCTTAAACCCCAAATTATTTTTCCAGTCCCATAATGTTTTTCAAAAAAATATTTTATAGGGGATATGGTGCGGCCAGCAGGTCAATCTGTACCTGTGAGGTGAGAGCATCAGCAGACTGATGGCGCCTTCAGATTTCCAGATACACCAAAATTGCTGCTGTGCCTTTGGCCAGATCCCAAAAACTTGGGACAAAGTTTACCAAGAAAGTAAACGGCAAAAAGTTAGGTATGAGGAAGACACACCCACAAACCACCTTGGGCTCAGCTATATAATTGGAGGCATGCCTCTCTGGTTCCTAATCAAACTGCTTAACGGCCATGATCCCAGAGACTCAGAAACAAATCTCGAAATCCAACGGCTTTTGGCAGAAATGAGTCCAGTCCCTACAGTAGGTTACCAGCGCTAGGCCACTCCAAGTGGGAATAGGTTTTGTGCCTTGGCCTGTTCCCCCGGCAACGCAGTGGCCGTCATCCTCCAGAGACCACTGGACAGTCAGGTTTGAGCCCACAGTGATGAGACACGTGAGGCTTCACGGGATGGGGGTGGAGCCAGCCCTTTTCTCCCCACCCCAACGAGACCCTGAGTCGCCACCCACGAACGGCCTCTATGGCTCCTGATCAAGCTGCTTAACAGCCATGATCCCAGAGACTCAGAAACAAATCTCGAAACCCAGTGGCTTTTGGCAGAAATGCGTCCGGACCCCGCAGTAGGTTACTGTCGTCGGGCCACCCCAGGGGGGAAAGGGTGCTGTCCCTCCGCCTGCTCCCCCTTGGTGGCTCAGTGACTGCCATTCACCAGAGGCCATTGGACAGTCAGGTTTGGCCCTCAGTGATGAGACACGCGGAGCCTCACGGGATGAGGGTAGAGCCGGCCCTTTCCTCCCCACCCCAATGAGAGCCCGAGTCACTGCCCATGAATGGCCTCTCTGGCTCCCGATCAAGCCATTTAATGGCCATGATCCCAGAGACTCAGAAACAAATCTCAAAACCCAATAGCTTTTGGCAGAAATGTACCCGGTCCTTGCATAGGTTACTGGCACTGGGCCACCCCAGGTGGGAATAAGTTTTGTGCCTTGGCCTGTTTCCCCTGGCGGCCCAGTGGCCACCATCTTCAAGAGGCCACTGGAAAATCAGGTTTGGGCCCGCAGTGACGAGATACACGGGGCCTCACAGGATGGTGGTGGATTCGGCCCTTTCCTCCCCACCCCGAGACCCTGAGTTGCCGCCCACGAATGGACTCTCTGGTTCCTGAGCAAGCTGCTTACCGGCCATGATCCCAGAGACTCAGAAACAAATCTCGATACCCAGTGGCTTTTGGCAGAAATGCATCCAGACCTGCAGTAAGTTACTGTCGCCGGGCCATCCCAGGGGGAAAGGGTGTTGTTCCTCTGCCTGCTCCCCCTAGGCGGCTCGGTGGCTGCCAACCTCCAGAGGCCACTGGATAGTCAGGTTTGGGCCCTCAGTGATGAGACATGTGAGGCCTAATGGGATGGGGGTGGAGCCTACCCTTCCCTCCCCGTCCCAATGAGACCCCAAGTCACCGCCCATGAATGGCCTTTCTGGCTCCTGATCGAGCTGCTTAACGGCCATAATCCCAGAGACTCAGGAACAAATCTCGGAACTCAGCAGGTTTTGGCAGAAATCCCTCCAGATTTAAGTGTTAAAATTTCAAAATTTCAAAATCGCACGGCCACTACTCCAGCCACGCGACATCATATGTTATTCTTAACCAGAAATAGAAAACAAATTGTCTACTGTTGCCTTTTCAGTAGATCTGAGTGTTGGGGTAAAATCCCAAATAATAATGGTGGGTCTGGTGTCAAAATATTGAATGTAATCAAAGTAGAGAGAGTAATGTGGAAATCATCTGCCCCACAGGTAGGGGGAGGGTGTGGGATGGGGGTATACTGGGGTTTTTGGGGGTGGAGAATGGGCACTGGTGAAGATACAGGTGTTTCATTGTATGACCGAGACTTAAACCCGAAAGCTTTGTAACTGCTCTCATGGTGATTCAATAAATAAAATTATAAAAAAATATATATATATTTCATACATATTTGTAGAAATTGAACATATGAATCAAATGGCTTAAAACTACTTGCTTTTACTATTATCTTCATTTTAATAATAACAAAATCAAAGATGAAATGTGGGAATACTTTATATCTAACAAATAAGTATTAAAAGACTCAAACTGGCAATTCAGTAAAAACCAGGTAGCCTCACCTTCCCCGGTGTAAGCCCTATCTTGACTCTAAATCTTATCAGCAGCAATTTCAAGTTAATATTTGTTTTAAACATCCCATTAGGAAAATGGGCTGGAGCGATAGCACAGTGGGTAGGGCGTTTCCCTTGCACGCAGCCATCATGGCCGATCCGAGTTTGATTCCTCTGCCCCTCTCAGAGAGCCCAGCAAGCTACCGAGAGTATCTTGCCCGCACGGCAAAGTCTGGCAAGCTCCCCGTACGTATTCAATATGCCAAACACAGTAACAATTGTCACAATGGAGATATTACTGGGCCCGCTTGAGCAAGTCAATGAATAACGGGAGGACAGTGATAGTGACAGTGATTAGGAAAATATTAAGTATGGAAAATACTGCCACCCAACAATTATTAAAGAAATGATTTTCTTAGGATGACAACTCCCCAAATACAAGTTTCTTAGACTACTAGAGCCATGGAATGCGGAAGACTCCTATAGTCTAAGAAGCCTAAGTAAGAAATAGGTAAACTATATATTCTCTGTCAGGTATATTAACCTATCAAAGGTTCTGAGAAGTCCTGCAGCAAAACAAAATAAACAAGCTCCCAATTTTGCAACCTGATTTTAATTTTTGTGAAATACCTATAAAAATAATAATCTATACATGTTGGAAAATACTATTTCAGATACTGGACTCTCATGATAACATTTAATATCTAATTATGTCCTAAGCTCAAAAATCAATTTATGATCCTTGACTTATTTCACATTTTATGTTGGCCTAAATAATTAAATCACAGAATCTTAATGTATAAATGTTAAAGTTCACATTAACACATACATATTACAACGCAAATTAACTCCAAGGAAACTTCATAAGGAAAAACTAATAATCATTGTTGTCTACTTTAAAACCACATTATATATACTAGAAATACTTACTGTGTAAGATTCAACTAATACTGTGGTTTCTAAGGCCAGTTTCTGCTCTTGTTCAATATTATATCCCACATAACACAATTTTTCTTTAATCATGCGAACCGTTTCAAAATCAGCAGAATGATTGAAGGCGTATCCCCGCAACAATAGCAGCTGATATTAAAAATATATAAACAAAATAGTAAGTCCACAATTATTGCCTACTAAATATATAACATCAAGATCCTTAGCTTTTCTTGAATATTTCACAAGTAATTGTAACAGAATTAACAGCTCATGAATAAGTGGGCAAAGCAAGCGTAAAAAGCAAGTTAGTTTTTTTAAAAAGTCATGCTTGAGTACTAATATGAACATAATTTTGATAATCCAAAGTCTATTAATAAAATTCTCATCAGAAAAATCTGAAAAAAATTGCTGATTGGTTGGTGACACACTGGTTGGTGAGACAAGACACTGCAATTTATATGATTAAATCATGTTATATACTGAAAACTAATATAGATAATATATAACAATTTTAAGTCTACCAATAAATAACATTTTATTTTATTTTCAGTTTGGGGGCCAAATCCAGCAATGCTCAGGGTTATATTACTGGTCAAACAAAGTAATGCTCAGCAATTACTCCTGGGTCTGCACTGTACTGCACACAGGAATTACTCCTGATGGTGCACAGGGAACCACAGGGGATGTTGGGATTGATTAACCCTGGGTGACTCATGTGGAAGGCAAGTACCCTACCCACTGTACTCTCTCTAACCCCCAACTACTAAACATTTTAGTACTTAACTTCTACAACCTGCAATTTGCTGAATCAATGCCGTATTTATGAGACGCCCATAGGTATCAGAAAAGTTTTATCCTTAGCTTCTAGTATTATGTCTTATATATATTAGATGAGTAACATAATTTGTGGGCTGGAGTGATAGCACAGTGGGTAGGGCGTTCGCCTTGCACGCAGCCAACATGGCCGACCCGATTCCTCCGCCCCTCTCGGAGAGACCAGCAAGCTACCAAGAGTATCTCGCCTGCACAGCAAAGCCTGGCAAGGTACTGTTGATTTATTCGATATGTCAAACACAGTAACAAGTCTCACGATGGAGATGTTACTGGGCCCGCTCAAGCAAATCGATGAACAACGGGAGGACAGTGACAGTGAACATAATTTGTAAACAAATAAGCAAATTCAATCCAACAGAAAAAAAAGCACCGTAAATATAACTGTATTTTATTAAAAATATGTAAAATACAATCATACATATTCATATGACAAATATAACAAATCCCCTAGTTTTTGTTCAGAAGATAACCCGTACAAACTCCTTAGCTGGCTACCTACAAACAGACTTTTGAGTAGGAGTAAGAGCATTCTTTCTTGAATTTTTTTTTTAAGGTCAGAATAGTTGCATCATTCCCAACTATGCTCAAGGAGCATTCCTAGCTCTACACTCAATTCATGTGGTGCTGGGGGTGGAACCCAGGCAGCTGATTCAAGATAATAGCCTATCCCACTGTAATGTTTCTCCAGCCCAAGAATGAGTGTACTATAATTCTCATCAACAATCTCATTATTTCTTTAAATGAGGTTAAAAGAACCTAATATGAAGGTGAAGACTTGATGCATACAATTTACACAGCTATCACCAAAGCTCAGAGTTTCTCAAACAGCAGCACTACTGATATTTTTGACTCTATAATTCTTTATTGTAAGGTCAGTAGCCTTCCCTATAGAGTTGTGACAACCAAAAATCTCTCCAGACATTGCAAAATGTCCTAGGGGAATGGGCAGCATTGTCCTTGGTCAAGAGTCCCTTATCTGGAGAAAATATGTTGACCATTTTTATACAAACAATATACTGATTTTTTTTTTTAAATACTAAAGGGGGTTAGGGATGCAGTTTGGTGGTAGAACACAAGTCTCTGTGGAATTTTGACTCCTGGAGTTTTTATCCCCAACATCCAAACAATCAAATCACATAAAAATAAATTTTTAAAGAGTGTTTTGGGTCAGTTTTGTGTTCAGTCTCAGGGGACCATATAGTGCTAAGGCTAGAACTAGTTATAAAACATGAGCTCAGTTCACTGAGTTCTCTCCTCAGTCCTACAAAAACGTATTTTCTCTCTTTTGCTTACCTTGATGAGATATCGGGTAATATCTCTCCCAGCAATATCCAGTCTCCTGGTAAGGTGAGGAAGAGAAAAGCCTTCATAAACTGGACAGATATGAGTGACACCATCTCCGGAGTCCACTACCACTCCTGTCAATAAACCTATGGCAGAAACACAAGAGGACAAAAAACCCCAATCAGAAAGTGGCGTACCAAATATGCCAAATACCAGTAACAATGATGGGTCTCATTCTCCTAAAGAGCCTTGAATATAATCTCAGGGCTAGGATGAAAGAGACGTTACTGGGGCCTGCTCGAGGCAATCGACGAATAACAGAAAGGGAAAAGCCAGAAATTTGCAAATGCCAATATTATAGTCCAACTAGAATGTCACCATCTAGGAAGGTTTCTTTACTGTTTCCTTACTTGGAGGTTCTTCTATGACACCAATACTAACTTCGGTGCTCGTGTATGCACGTCTCTTGTGAGACTTCGCTCCTAATAATTTGCTATCCCAGGAAAAGGAGAAAAACAGACCCTAAGACCTAGAACTGAAAAACTAAACCTGTTCTTAAAGCTCAGGACTATCCTTTACATGCCTTTTTAATTTAAAAGCTCCTAAAATTTTCTGCACATCATGAGTAACTTATGTAAAGTACTTTAAAAGGTAAATATCACACAAGTTGGTAATAAACTAGTTGAAATAATCTAGCTATTATTTTTTCCGTGTAGTAGATTCAAAGCCGCATTGTTCTGAACAATTATCTGCCAGTGCAAGACACCTGAGAACAATTCATCTAATCGAGTGAAAGGATCACTTCAATTATTTAACTGAAACCAGGAGCAATGTCACTTATGACTTATAGAAAAGAGCAAAGAGGCTGCCTCGCTTTCATTATATGCTACTTAAATGTAAGACGTCTGTAAAACTTAAGATAACCACCTTCCATATCAGGGTTTCCCAAATTCAGAAAAAATAAACTTCTAATTTATTTTCTTAATAGCAAAAAAGGAAAAAAAAGAGATAGAGAGAGAGAAAATTTGGCACAACCAGGAAGGGCCCCGCACCAAGCCACCACCCGTGTGGCTCCAAAATCAAACCCAAAAAATAAGAACCTTCCTCTCTCTTGATTCATACAGACATGCATGAACTCTATTATCTAATTTCAACTCTCTTATATAATTTAGGATATATTTATTCCAACTACTATTTGAAGCTGATATATTTCATCCTTACTTGGGGCTCAACAAACACACCTAAACACCAGAAACTGAGAGAACTTATCTTTCCATTAGACAGAAATAAGTTTGTAATTACTGGTGAAAAATCCACAAAGGTCAATTTTACTCTAATACAGTTAAAACAAGATCTGGGGATACAGCTTCAAGGTGCAGCACATGTTTTTACATACAGGAGTCAGGGTTTGGAGCCCTTGTACCACAAGATTCCCCTCCCTCCCCCTTCCTTATCCAGCCCCTCAATGCCAGGAGTGGCCTCAGAACAATACTAGGTGTAACCAAAATTGGGGGGAGGGGGGATTCAGAACAGTCCTTTTGGAACTAGAGATAGTACAGTCAATAGATCTGGATTTGATTCACACAAATTATTACCAGGAGTGGCCCTGGAGCCATCTGAGTTTTGCCTAGGAAAAACCCCAAATTTAAAAAAAAAAAAAAAGTTTAGTCTAAAAGAGACTTCTTTTATTTGTAAAAAATGGGCAGTTTCTTTTTACCTTAAGTTCTTCTGTTTGGGGAAAAAAGAAAAAGGAAAAAGGGCCAGAGAAATAGTACTGGGGTAAGATGTTTGACTTGTATACGGTCAACCCCAATTTGATTTCATATGCAGAACATAAAAAAACATAGTAGGGGAACAACAAATGACCAAAGGCAATTGAAATCAAGAACAGGAGAAATGAAAACATGACATGGGCTGGAGAGATAGCACAGCAGGAAGGACGCTTGCCCTGCACACACCTGACAAGGATTTGATCCTCGGCATCCCATATGGTCCACTGAACACTGCCAGGAGTAATTCCTGAGGGCAGAATCAGGAATAATCCCTAATGTGACCCAAAAACTTGAAAAAGAAAAAAGTAAAGAAAACATGAGGAAGTGTGCCAACAGGGAGAGGATGAGGGGGAGAAGAACACTACGACAGTGGAGGTCAGTGGCAACTGTGGCGGAGCAAAGGGTGCTAGAAGGCAATAAAGTCTTATGAATGCAACTGTATCAGTAACGGTACTATAAACCACAGTGTCTAAAAGCAAAACAAGTGCCTGCCACAGAGGCAGGATGGAGAGTGTGGGCAGGGGGAAACTGAGGAAATTGGTGGCAGCAAGTGGACGGGTGAGGGGACTGGTGTTCAAACATCACATGCCTGAAATTCAGAATAACATTGTAAATCATGGTGTCTCAATTTAAATAAAAAAAGGAAATAAGGTCAGAGGTAGTACAGGGGTAAAGCACTTGCCTTGCATGCAGTCAACCCGTCTGATCCCCAGTACCACATATAATCCCCTGAGCACCACCAAGAGTGACCCCTGAGCACTGTAAGGTGTGGCCAAGTTCTCTCTTCCCCATGAAAAATAAAATAAAATTATATGTGTAGCTGTTCAAATTTCAGATGTATAACTTATTAGAAAATTAAATTATTCACAAGAAATAAACTTAGTAAGTACTTCCTTAATTAATTTTTCTAAAGGTTAAGCTTGACCTACCTTGGGCATACAATGTCAGAACTGCCTGGATGGCTACATATACACCAGAGAACTGATAAGTTTCAAACATTACCTGAATAAACAGAAGAAAAGGGAAAAAAAATCGGTATTTTTGAAGTTACATAAAGTATACATATACTTATACTTATACTTTCTTCTTCAAAGGGACATCAGAGTCAAACCTTTCACTTCTTTCAATTATTCTTGTATCTGTTAAAGTCCCACTGTTAGATAGCTCCAGATCTTTGGATACACATTTTGAGTCCCAAAATGTTTTGTACGCACTGGATCAAGTTCTCTCTCTCTCTCTCTCTCTCTCTCTCTCTCTCTCTCCCCCTCTCTCTCGCTTTTTGGGTCACACCTGGTGTTGCACAAGGGTTATTCTTGGCTTTGCACTCAGGAATCACTTCTGGCAGTGTTTCGTCGGAGACTATATGGGATGCTGGGAATCAAACCCAGGTCGGCCCCGTGCAAGGGAAACGCCCTACCTGCTGTGCTATTGCTCCAGCCTCTAGATCAAGTTGTCTTAATTAATATTCCTAACGGGCAATATCCTTTGTATTAGAAAAACAAACTATAGAAGTGCTAAGTACTAATCTCCCATCCCGCTCCCCTAATCTAAGACAGTGGCTCCACTTTTAGCAGCTTAAAAACAAGTTATAAAATGAGAGGTTAGGAAGACAATAAAATCAACAGTTAACTCTTAATTGTTGACAAAAACACTGCTTAGCTGATGAGCCAGACTTCCTCCTGCCTGAACATGGCCTCTGCTCTGCTTTTTGCTGCCCAATGAACTAACTACCTAAACAGTTTCCTTGCGCCCTTCCTGGACACAACTGTGCTCAGGCACTGTAGTTAGGTAGGCTGGGAACATCCTGAGGGACTTTTTCATCAAGTACTCCTGGAGGGGCAGGGATGACTATTGTTCTAAAGATCTACCTACTTCGAAATTTTATAACAAGCATTTGAGAGAATTTAAAATGTGCAATTATGAACCTCATGTTCAGGAATCAAGCAACGAGATACTCTATTGTTCTATTCCATATTTATCTTCACACAAGAAAAAAATGAAAGTGAATGTTGTATTAGCATTTATCAATTTGAAAGTCTGTAGTGTGTGTGTGGGGGGGGGGACAGAAACAACGGGGGGTGTGAGAGGAGAGGGATGGGGAAGGAAAGGCCTCAGTAGCAACTGGATAAAAGCACTTTCTATTTGTTCATTTAAAAAAGGCATTTCCAGGAGCTGGAGCAATAGCACAGCAGGTAGGGCATTTGCCTTGCATGTGGCTGACCCTGGGTTCGCTTCCCAGCATCCCGTATGGTCCCCCAGCACCGCCAGGAGTAATTCCTGAGTGCATGAACCAGGAGTAACTCCTGTGCATCGCCGGGTGTGACACCCCCCCCCCAAAAAAAAAACCCAAATAAATAAATAAGGCATTTCCAGGAGAGCACTGAGTGATTTTTTTTTTTTTGGTTTTCTAAAAAGGAGTTAGCAGGCCAAATAAATTTTAAAACCTCTCTAGTAAAATATTTTTCCCTTTTTTTTTGGTAAGATGAAAAATAAAGAGGATTAATGACATGTATACCCCCTGTATATATGGGTGATATTCAGTAAATCTAAGTAATTCACCACATATTCATAAACACCCATTTTTTTGCCTTCTTTTTACTGTGTGAAGTTCTAAATATCAAAGAAATATTAACATCCATAACTACACCACCAAATGTAAACAACTGTAAATGTATGTCAATGTATATGATTACTTTTTAGTTCTCTGAAGTAGATATACATTCTTATTTCTAACCTGCAAAATGATAATTTAATGAAAATAAAGAGCTATGTGAGTGAACTGTTTAGGATCAGAGGTAGCAAGCAGAAAAAAAGTGAGCAAAAAGATCCCAGAGGAGGAGCCAGGGAGATGGCACAAAGGCATGGAAACCTCAGGGTTGACTCCAGCACTTCACAGTTTGCTGAGCACTATTAGGAGTCATCTCTAAGCAATAGGCTGAGAGTATCCCCCAACCCCCTCTGCCAGCATTACTTTATTATGACTATAAGAGAAGTTGTGTTTTTGACCCAAGAATGGCCGAGATTAGTACCAGGAATTTTGCTCCATGGCTTGGAGGCCAGCCACACATGCTAGGGGAAAAGGCAGCTCAGATAGAGAAGGGAGCACCAAATAAAGGGTGTTGGGAGGATCCTCCCAGGATGGGAGAAGCATGCTGAAAGTAGACTATAGACCGAACATGATTGCCACTCAGTGCCTCTTTTGCAAACCACAGCACCCAAAAGGAGAGAGAGAACAAAGGGGAATGCCCTGCCACATAGGCAGGGTAGGATGGGGGATGGGGGGTGGGAGGAATACTGGGATCCGTGGTAGTGGGATATGGGCACTGGTGGAGGGATGGGTATTTGATCACTGTATAACTGAAACCCAAGCACAAAATTTGTAAGTCTACAACTGTACCTCATGATGTCTCACTAATAAAAGTTAAAAAAAAAAAAAAGAGAGGAGTAGTGTTTTTGACATGCTAGGGCCAGAATCCAGGGCCTCAGCTGGGAAGGAGAGGGGAGGAGAGGGCCAGAGTGATAGTAGAACAGGTAGGGCATTTGCCTTGCACAAGGCCAACCCAGGATCAATCCCAGCATCCCATACGGTCCCTCAAGTTCCACCTAGAGTAATTCCTGAGTGCAGAGCCAGGAGTAATCTCTGAGCATTACCAAAATAGAAAAAAAAAAAAAGAGGGAGCTATAAGAGCCTAATAATCTTTCTACACTATAACAAAAAATCACTGTCCTCCCGTTGTTCATCGATTTTCTCAAGCGGGCCCAGTAACGTCTCCATTGGAGACTTTGTTGTTACTGTGTTTGGCATATCGGATACGTCACGGGGAGCTTGCCAGGCTCTGCCGTGCGGGCGAGATACTCTCGGTAGCTTGCCGGGCTCTCCGAGAGGGGCGGAGGAATCGAACTCAGATCGGCCATGTTGGCTTCATGCAAGGCAAATGCCCTACCGGCTGTGCTATCGCTCCAGCCCGTAACAAAAAATAAGTAATTTAATTGAGAGTGTCATTCAATGGTAAAGTAAGTTCAATTAGAAACTATACCAAATATAAACATAAACTACAACTATCTCAAGTCTGTGACATGAAGTGAAATACTGGTAGATTTTAAGGATATCAACTTAGAAGAGGAAATGGTAACATATGGGCATTCTCTTTTATAGTGCTGGCCTGAAACTAGGATGCACTGGGCATAGAGAGAGGCTAAAACTTCTCCTAATACTTTGACTTCATCCTGACTTCTTTCGAATATCAAAAGAAAAAAAGGAGAATCAAGAAAGAATAAGAGCAAATGAAAATTTGAAGCAGTAGTTCAGGTAGGAAGCTAGGATGGTGCCTGAACTCTGACCCATGCACAGGGCTGATTAGATGCTTTCTTCTAGCCAATCCAGAAAATTTGGAGAAGAAAGGGCAGATCAGTTTGGGAAATAGAATCAAAGAAGGGCATTAACAATCACCACCAAATTAGCACTCACAAGCAAATAAGAGTATAAAACAAGGTAAAATCTTAAGAGTTATGAGACCATTTCTTGTGTGTGTGTGTGTGTGTGTGTGTGTGTGTACACTAAAAAAGTCTGTCTTAGCCAAAATGCTAACGAGAAAAATAATCCAGAATGTCATCTCCCTAATGTTTTATCTGAAAGAAATCTAATTATCATTCTGACATCTTGTTGCCTTCCTAAAGGCGAATCCACACATAGGAAACTTTCACTTCAAAGTAAAATTATTTCTACACTGTAAGATAACAGTGGTTTGTCCTTTTTACCTTGCCACAGGGAGCTTAGGTTTATTGGGTTACACCCATCACAGTGCTCCCGAGGCACTCCCATTCCTCTGTGTTTATCTGTAACCTCTTTCTTTGTGCTCTGCTTTCCAAACTGGTCAATCACCTTTATCTCCTAATCAGACTCTGTTAACTTATAAATATTGCTTTTATCTTCTCCTTATGTCCTTTGCATAGTTACTTCAGAGCAATGTCCTTTTTGTATAGACACCGTGAGACAGTTAATGCTATGCCTTTGGAACTTGGGAAGTTAATTAACTTAGAATAATATTCACTTCTGGGCATCTGTTCTCTCGCCTTAAACCTCAGTTGTTCTTAGTTCTTAGATCCCCCAAAGCAGGGTCCCGATGAGGTACTGGATGGACCCAGGGCAAGTTGTGAGCTACCCTGGAACCAAAATGAGCCAGGCCAAAGCGCCATAATACTTAACTTTAAGTTAAAAGCATGGTCATGGACAAATTCTGTCATGATCCAAAAAGTAACAACAGGATTAGGATCCTGCTAGGGTTAGAAAAGACTAGTCTGGCCTGAGCAATGTAATGTAAGATATATAGGGAGATGCCCCCAGGAAAGCCATTCTATAAGCTTAATGATTCTCTTACTCTGTCCATACAAAATGACTAATATTATTAAGAAATTAAGATGAATGGTTAAATGATTCTTGGACTAAGGAGAGGAGAAATGCACTAGGTGGTATTTCGCCCTTGAGCAGATCTCCTGGCTGCAGGAGATGAAGAAGGGCTTTGATATGGTGCCTGTGCTACCAGACCTGGCTACCACCAAGGTTTGGAGGGTGTGAGAGACTAGAGAGAGCAGGACTGCAAATTGGGGCGCAGACAGACTAGCAAGGGGGACAGGAAGAGACGGGAATGAGGGGCAGGGTGAGACTGAAATGGGGAGCTTAGTGAGACTGGAACAGGCGCGTGAGGAGAATGGAATAAACGGCAACTGATTGCCAACCAGCCTGGTCCTCGTTTCCTCCTTCATCTTCCCGGGTGGGGAAGTGGCCCGAGACCACCTCACGCAAGTGGCGAGAGAGCCGCGGGCTTCTTATTCGTTTAATGAATACACACTACACTGTGATATTGTACTGCATTGCTAAAAATAAACAGTATCTACAAATGACTACTTATTAATCACTAAGTATTAAAAGTTGTAAATTATTTTTAAAAAGTAAAGTGTAGTATAAACTAGTGTAAGAACATACCACTCTTCTACTTTAGGAAGAAAAGAGCATTTAAATGTGAACCATAAAAAAAATTACATGGTTTGGGGCTGGAGGCATAGTATAACGGATAGGGCGTTTGCCTTGTAATCGGTCGACCCTGGTTCAATCCCCGGCATCCCATTTGGTTCCCCAAGCACCGCTAGGAGTAATTCCTGAGTGCAGAGCCAGGAGTAACCCTTGAGCAACACTGAGTGACCCAAAAAGAAAAAAAAAATTACATGGTTTCTGTAACTAAAATCATGAACTAGAATTCTTACAGGGTCAGGCAGAGAGCTGGTGCTCATGCTTCATTCGTATCAGACAGGTCTGAGTTTAATTCCCTGACCACCACCAGGGGCAGCCCGTTGGCACTACCAAGGTAGCTCCAAAACAGTCAATTTCCAGACATTTCATATAGAAACTGTTTTAATATATATTTTGAACAATCCCCTTCCAAAGTTTCATCAATATCTATCCAAAATAGTAAAAAAAAAAAAGCTAAGTAATAAACACTAAAATTCAAATTTTTTCTCTACCTCATAAACAAATAAAAAATAACCTCTGACAGTTAATGTATCTTCTAACTCTGCAGTTCCCACACTTATTTGACTGATTGTACCCACCCGTCTTAAAAGAAACAAAGTACTCAGAGGACAGTAGGTAGCTTGCTTGCCTTGCACAAGCTAACCGGGTTCGATTCCCAGCACCACAATGGTCCCTCAAGTATTGCCAGGAATGAGCCCTGCGTGTAAACCCTGAGCAACTGGGTGTAGTCCAAAAACAAACAAAATAGGGAGGAGGGGAAGGAAGAGTTGGGGGGGGGGGGGGAGAAGAAAAGAAATACTCAGCCTGCCTACCCTGGGAAATTATCTACCATCGTTGACTATATTTATTTATTTATTTTTAATTTTTATTAGTGAAACACCATGAGGTACAGTTGTAGACTAACAAATTTTTGTGCTTGGATGATGATCTAATACCCATCCCTCCACCGGTGCCTATTTTCCACCACCATGGATCCCAGTATCCCTCCCACCCCCTACCCCCCCATCCCACCCTGCCTCTGTGGCAGGGCACTCTATTTTGTTCTCTCTCTCCTTTTGGGTGTTGTGGTCTGCAAAAGAGGCACTGGGTGGCAATCATGTTCGGTCCATAGTCTACTTTCAACATGCATCTCCCATCCTGGGAGGATCCTCCAAACACCCTTTATTTGGTTCTCCCTTCTCTAGATACACAAAAAAAATTCTTGGGCCCTTCTCTTCAAAATATACATTCTGCTTACTTCTCTAAATCCGACTCTTAGCTCCACCACTGCGATCTATCCTTTACTTAAATGACTCAGTCTCTTTTCAACCCTTGTCTTCTTGAGGTCTACTCTCAACACAGCAGCCAGAAAAGATAAAGAGCATGGCCCACCCCTTTCACAGTCCTTTTTTACAATGAGGTAAAAGCCTAGCCCTACCACATCTCTTACTGCTCTCCTCTCTCACTGGCTTCCTTGATGACCAATGATGCCAAGCATGCTCCCATCATTAAAACCTGTATGCTAGCTATTCCTTTGCCTACAATGTTCTCCTCCTCTTATAGATTCTGGCTCACACCTTTACAACCTTTGTTTAAATACCACTGTCTACAGACACCACATCCTATATAAACATGCAACCCTCCCCACTCTCCATTGCCCTTCCCCTGTACTTCTCTCCCTGGCCCCCGTAGCATCTATTACCTTCTAACAAACTATTCAATTAACTCATGATGGGCAAGGAGAGAGAATGGCGGCTGAATATTCCAACTAAAACATAAGCTCCAAATGGATAATTTTCTTTACTGATAAATCCTTAGAAAAATGACTAAATATAGTTAGGGATCATTAATAGGACGGGGGAGGGGGGACACAAGTATTTTCAGTACCTTTTTCCTTAACAGTAATAAGTGAAAAACAGTTGCTTTCACATTATTTCCCAGAAATACAAAATCATACCCCATCTAAAAACTTACCTCTACAATCTTCTCTCTGTTTTTGGTAGGGTTCATAGGAGGTTCTGTGAGTAAGATTTTACAGTTTCTGGTATCTATGTTAAGTTTCTCTGGTCCAAATGTATAGTCCCACAGGTGTTTCATGTCATCCCAATTTCGTACTATACCATTTTCCATAGGGTAGTTAACTTCTAACATTGAACGTAATTCACTTGCCTCATCACCAACCATAAGATCCTAGAAAATTATAACATTAAAGCTTTAGACTTTTTTTTACATAAAAGTGACTCCAGAAAATATATTCAAAATATTCTGAAAAATCTGGGAATAATTTTAATCTTTTCAGCACTTTGTGATAAATTTCTTCATTGCACTAAGTTTAAAAAATAAATCTTTCCTTTCAAGAACAAAGCTGTATTATAAATACTAATTAACATATATAATGTTAATGTGGTCTAAATCAATAAACTGGTCTTACCTTTAATACTGTTTTCAAAAGAAGAGCATTAGTACAAATAAACGCTACATTTCCTTATTGTAGTGGGTTTTTAAAATGAGATTTTATCTGTTTTTTTTTAATTAAATATTCAAAAATAAAATCTGTAATAGATGAAATAGCACATCGGGGAAAATGTGTAGAAAAATGCTTGATACATGCAGCATATTTCTATGTACTAAACCTCAAAATAAGTGTGAAGATTATAAAGCATAAAAAAAGAAACAGAAATTGAAATTATTCTTCTTTATACTGTAGCAATACTTATACACCCCTTGTAAATTCCACAGACTTCTATCTACATATGCCTGAACTTTAACTGAAATTAAATTTCTTTATATGCCTTACCACTGATGAATAAGAATTTGCAGTGATATAAAAATCTGTGACACAGGAAAACATCTTTTTAAAAATTATCCTGTAAATCTTCCATTTTAAAGTATAATACTGGAAAGCTGTGCTATCACATATGAAGCAGAATACTCACAGGTCTTGTTTCCAATGAAAGCACACTTAACATGACCCACATTTGAAAAGTGAGATTTTATATGTAAAATAAGGTTACTGATGCCCTAGAACTTAAATTTATTTTAGGAATCAGCTACTCGCGATATTAAATAACCTTATTTTCCATATGTACTGATGAATTTAATTTTTTAAAGTACCAGAAATAGCTACAATCTGCTATAATCCCATAAATTTAAAATATGGGACCCAGGATAGCTCAGTGTTGGAGCATCTGCCTTGCAGTGTGGGGTTGAGAGTCTGATCCCAGGCACCTTCTGCCACCGAGTTTGATCCCAGCAGCATTGCTTTCTGAAATCCCTTTTTGAAATACCAGGTGCCACAAGGATGCAATCTATCTCCAGCACACTGCAACCAAGAATATGCAAGCACCACAACTAAGATACATGGCCCCTGGTTATAGCAGCAACAAAGAGAATAGAAAAACATTTTAAAATAAACTAAATTTGGAGATGAAAAGAAAAAAATCAATATTTAAAAGCAGAGTTTTAAATATATATACACAAACTTTTTTTTTTTTTGCGATTCCAGGAACTGAACGCAGGGTTTCATACATGAAAGGTATGTGCTCTAGCATTGAGTCACATCACCAAACCTTCACATTAAAACTTTTAATAAAAACAGATCACAGGTAAAACTAGGGTGATGAATTTTTTTAAAAACAACAACAGAAAAACAAGTTTCTGGAAAATCCACTGAAAGCAACAACAAAAAAGAAAGATAAGGTTAAAGAAGATGCTAGAAATGTTTCTGTACAATGAATTTCTTACAAAATTACTTTATCCTAATTCAGATTTGCTACTAAATTCTGTGTAAAATCTTCTAACAGGAAGAGAAATGCAAAACAAAAATCTGTACCTGTGAACTTTGGTTAACAAAACATATTCTGAGTTAATTAGGGAGAAGTACACTGATGATACTTTGAAATGTATATAAAAATGAATAGTTATGCGATAAATCAGTATAGTAAATATTAAAAGGTCAGAGTGGGTACATGGGTTCACTAAAACTCTTTCAACTGTGCTCAATAAGTTTAGGGAGGAAACAGCTAGTGTGTATACTTTGCATCAGCAGGCCCAAGTTTGATCCCCGGCACCATATGGTCCCCTTCCCCCTTATCCACTCCAGTACCAAGCCAGGAATAGCTCCTGAGAACCTCCAGGTATGAGCTCAAAACAAAAATGTTTGGGAGAAAATCTCCGCCAGTAAGTTCATGTATCACTATTTACTTTTGGCTGTTAACAAATACATTTTTATATGCAATTTTGTTACTTACCTCAAGAATATATATATTTTTATTATATAAATAAGGTCACTGTCACTGTTCTCCCATTGTTCATCGATTTGCTCGAGCGGGCACCAGTAACATCTCACAATAAATTGTGAGACTTGTTACTGTGTTTGGCATATTGAATACGCCACAGGTAGCTTGCCAGCCTTTGCCATGTGCGCGAGATACTCTCGGTAGCTTGCCAGGCTCTCCAAGTGGGGCAGAGGAATTGAACCGGGGGGTGGAGGAATCGAACTCGGTTTGGCTGTGTGCAAGGCAGCTGCCCTACTTAGTGTGCTATCGCTCCAGCCCATTATATAAGGTGATGGGTTAAATTAAATGGCTTATGTAAACAAGATACATTGACAAACATATTTGAACAGACTTAGAGCAAGGATGGTCTGGTTTCAAATATTTACTTTTTATTCCAGGAACAAATACATCTTGTGTGCCAATTCAAAATAAAAGCCACATACTTCTAGGACATACACACTAAAGGATTAACTGAAAGAAACATATGGCATTATATATCATACCAATCCTCTGAACAAAGAGGACATTTAAAATAGGAGGAAATGAGTATTAACTTCTTTAATCAATACAAAATTTCATGAGTGGCCCATACTACTTAATAAAAAAGTATCAATATGTAAAAAATATTAAAATCCTAAAACATCATTTTCCATAGAACAGTACACACTAATAAGCACATTATTTATCTTGTTCTCATACCTCAGAATCAAGTTGTGATGAGATCAGGCTTAGTTTTTAAAAAACTAGATTAGATTTTACTACCTACTGCATGTCTGGACCTAAAGGCTAATATACAACCTATTAGCTGAAAGAATGAAAAGTTTCTATAGCTAAGATACAACTTCAAAAGTACTTGTCTTTCCTGAAAAGCAGGCAGTGTAGATTCTATTTGCCAAAAATCATTTTGAACAATGCCACCTCAAGTTGAGAAATACAGCAAACATTATTTTATTTTATTTATTTATTTTGCGTTTTGGGTCACACCCAGCAATGCACAGGGATTACTCCTAGCTGTGCTCAGGGGACTATATGGGATGCTGGGAATCAAACCTGGGTTGATCCCACCAAACCTATTGCTCCATCCCTGCAAACATTATTTTAAAGCACAAATTCCTCGGAGAGACTATCTGGGCAACTTGTTAAATCTACATCATTCTTTACAAGTAAACCCTTAATCTCCTTAGTTTTAGGACAAATGCATGATCTTTCATAGGACAAATCCAGACATTTTCATAGGTAGGTAGAGATACCACAGATCACTTGCGAAAAGCAAGCATGTGCTCTACCACTGTGCTATATCCCTAGCTCACCTCCAGCAGAGCTCAGGGATGTTCCCAATTAACTTGATGTTCCAGGGGAGCTACCAATTCAAGGAGGTTAGCCAGAGGTCTGCCCTATGTGGTGCCGGGGACTGATCTCATGGCCGTGCAGAAATCTGGTAGGCATGTGCTAGGTATGAGCTCTATGACCCGAGAGACCTCCCTGACCCACCGAAATTTCCACTTTTAAATGCATTTTATTTATTCAAAAAATAACTCCAATTACTAGTTGAAATATTTTACTTAGAAACTGTGATTTTCATCCTTACTACCTACAATAATATTAAAGACAATCAAATCTAGGAAATACCTACTATAAATAGCAGCAAAGAGAAAAATGAGTCGACTATGAGATGCACTCAGTAAATTAATTCAAAAGAAAAGGCTTCAAAGAACAGTATTTATTTAGGGAGTCAATTTGTTGTTCACAGAACAGTTTTCTAAGACTTCCACCTTATTCTTATTTATCCTCAAAAAATATTGCTACATCTGCCTGTAGTACAGGAAGCTAGTAATTCTCCTTTGCTACCACTTTACTACCTAAGGTACATTTATAGTTCATATTAAAACTTTTCTGTTTGTTAAGCCACATTGGATGTAAATATACACACTCATATATACATGTATATACATTATATACATATATACATACATATATAAACATACATACACACATATTGTGATAGGCAACTTTCAATTACATGTTGGTCAATAAACTGGGTTTACCTAAATTAACAACTTCACCCTAATTTTCTACATCACACAGGCCCTACATGAAGCCAAGTATATGGTTTCTATTATTATGCACACCACACTCCATTTTAATGGCATTTATCTACAAGAAACACAAAGAAAATAATTTTTAAAAAGTATGTTAGTAATTAGTTCTGGTTTGGCCTATTGTATGCAATCAGGAAAGTATAGGACTTAATTAGTTGCACCAAACTGAAGCAATGGAAAAGATTAAAAATCAAAGTACTTAAAATTAAAATATGGAATTACCCCCCTCCCCAAGACTAAAGGGACACAAACAACTACTGTCCCACCAAGCAAAAGTGGAAAACAAACAGAGCATGTGTGTAACCTCACTTACCATCTTTTTGTTATTCTACTTCAACAGGTCAAGAAAGGTGAAGAGAGAGAAGGTAGAAGTAAGAGTCAGAAAAGGCCTACATAAAATCCTCACTGAAATTTTTAAACATACAAGCAATAGAGACAATTAGGTTGAGGTCAGATGCAGTACTACTATATTTTAAGGAGTTAATAATTGGGCCAAATTAACATGGACAGTTATTTATCTTGAATGAAAATGCACTCATTAAACAAATTAAATTTCCAGATTTTGGGTTGTTTGTTTACCACCACATTTTAGCTAATATACAAAAAGAATACACTAGGCATAAGAACTCCAAAAAGTAAAATTTTAAAAAAACTCATTACTGATTTCAAAATCTTAATTAAAGAAAATAACAGAAAAGGTCTAGCTAAGTAGGTAGTGGATAACTTTAGGGTTACTTTTCCACGCTACTAGTCAAATTAAAATTTTAGTCAAGTTTAATTGGACTCAGGTCTCTTACTGTCTCTTATTAGAAGAACAAATTAATTTTAAAGACTTAAAAAAGATTGAGCAGATTGAACAAAAGTGATCCACAGAACACACAATAACAAACCATACAAACAAATACCACTGAGGAATTTCTCAGCGAAAATGTCTTATTGGAATAATGACTAGTTTCATTCCTGTCACTTGGACTTAAAACATAAGAAAGTGAAAAAAATATCCAAACAATTGAATACAATTGTTGGAAAATAAAAATCTGATTTATTATTCATAATACTTCCAAAATGTTATTATGCATAATATACAAGCTATTCTCTGTTTGTTGGGCCACACCCAGTGGTGCTCAGACGTTACTCCTGGCAGTGCTTGGGACCTTATGGAATGCCAGGGATCGAACCTGGGTCAGCCATGTGCAAGACATACACCCTATCCACTATACTGTTGCTCTGGCCCCATAAGTCATTCTTTTAAAAAAATGATACACTGAATAAAAGTATGATTTCCAACATCATTTTAAAGGTTTATCAATACTACTATCTAAATATTATGTGGTGGCTTTATTTAAAACTGAATTAATCAGAATGAAATTCACAAAGAGTCCATAAATTCCTCAAAGACCCTTAAATTTTTTTCTCATGTAGTTTTTCCATTTGACTGTTTTTAACATGACAAAACAGAGACCAGAATAATTCACCATCCTAAGTATTTCAAAATTAACAAAGAACCTACATTTCAATTTGTATTTTTATTCCATGTGTAATTCAATTCTCTAGTTCCAAGAGCAAAATTTCCACCATCTATTACTACCTTCCTAGAGATCTCAAACAAAATGTTCCAAAGAGGAACACCTTAACAACTTTTAAATGACTCAGAATCTAACAATACACTGAAGTCTTGCCAGACTATCCAGATATGACTAACAGTGCTGGGTTGTTCACCAACAGTACAGTGAAAGTTCCTAAATCTGATTTCATTTTCTATAACCTGATCCCTAGGGCCACTAGAGTTTAAGTAGATTAGGAATCACTATCCTTTTCATTGTTTTATTTTTTTCATTCTAACATCATAATTCTCATTTGATTCCAAATCCTGTTAGTATGAGAGAAAAAAAAAATCTATCAATATTTAATGTCAAATATTTAATATTAAGAATAGTAACTAGAAACAACAATTTTACTTCTTTCCCTGTGGTAAGATAAAGAAATAATGCAAGGATAAAGACTTGCATAACTTCCTCCTACACATTATGAAAATCAACTAGGGAAAAGAGGAACCAATCATTTTTACCTCTGTGTGTTTTCCTGACTAGCTACATTAAACAGTTGAGGAATCAGGCCACAAGAACATGGAAAGGAAAAACCAAAGGTCCCAAACTACATTTAGAGATAATTATAAGGAATAGGCAAAAATTCCCAGATTCTTTTAAAAATTATACAACAGAATATAAGAGCTCAACACAGTATTTTATATCACCATAAAAATCATAATATTTTCATCCATCCAGAATATAATGGCATCAAGCCATAATTAAATTCTGTCCTATTCTTGCTATTATGGCGTATTATTTTATACCTACTAAATTCAAAGAAAACCTCACAGGTTTTGATCCTCATGTACCAGTCAATGAAACATTACCTTGATTTCAATGTTTCCCACTTTGGTGGTTGATCTGATAATAGGTCTTCCAACCAAAGCTGGGAAGATGTGTTCTGGAAAGTTGGAACCTGCATATCCACACTTCACAAACTGGAAAAGACAAGTTAAAAGTGAATTAGTACAAAGATATCTTTTTTTTTTTCCTTTTCTGTTATTCTGTTTTTGGTTTTCGGGTGACACCTGGTTTTGCTCAGGCTGAACTCCTGGCTCTGTGCTCAGGGGTCACTCCCTATTGAGGTTTGAGGGATCATATGGGGTGCTGGGGATCAAACCCAGGTCAATTGTGGCAAGGATGTACTCTATCCTGGCCCCTAATGTTTTCATTTTAAAATATTATCTGAAAAATATCACTCTGCATTTACACAGTATCTGGAACTTTTGATGCTTTCAAATCTCCCAGAGTAGGAGGCAAAGCAGCACAATGGGAGGGCACTTGCCTTGCATGTCGCCGAACAGGGTTTGAGCCTCTGCATCCCGTATGATCCCCAAAGCACTGTCAGGAGCAATTCCAGAGTAGAGTCAAGAATAATCCCATGCATCACTGGGTGTGGCCCAAAACCAAACAAAAAATTTCCCATAGTAGTCATCTAATCTATTATGTAATTTTACTTCATTTATGGCACTGAATTCTATCAGTGTTCATGGTTTATTTTTTAAGTTAAAATTTATTTTTTGAAATGCAAAATTTTTAAAAACAATTCTATATTAATATAGTTTGGAGTTTACATGGAATAGATAAGGCCACATATGTAACTTTTCCCTTACACTTTATATAAAACTGTGATTTATAAAGTTGTTCATGATGATTTGTTACAAGCATTCAATACTCCAACACCAAACCCACAACCATTACACCTTCCCTCCACCACTGTCTCCAATTTTCCCAACCATCTCTTAAGCCTGAGTTCACTTTTTTTACTGGTTATTTAAAAGTCACCACACTACAGGAAAAATTTTAGGGGTGTCAGGAGCTGAGCAGTTCATGCTAGAGCCAGACACCTAGAGATGTTGGGACACACAGTGGTCCCATAGCAAAGAATTAAAGGAGAAAGGTACTTGTGAAAGAGAAATAATAGGAACTAAACAGACATAGCGCTCAATTCTTTAATTTTTTTATTTTATAAAGTATTTCACAGTATTTGATTACATTTACTATTCAGACACCAACCCCACTACCATTACACCTTCCCACCACCATATTCTGATGTTTCCATCCCAAACCCAAATCTCTACCCCAAAGCAGAACCAAAATAATATATTTTGTGTTGTTTATTATGAGAAAAAGCTAAAAATGCTACTATAAAGTATCCTCAGGGCTGGAGCGATAGCACAGCGGTAAGGCATTCGCTTTACAAGCGGCCAACATGGCCGACCTGAGTTCGATTCCTCTGCCCCTCTCGGAGAGCCTGGCAAGCTACCGAGAGTATTCGATATGCCAAACACAGTAACAACAAAGTCTCCAATGGAGACGTTACTGGGCCCGCTCGAGCAAATCGACGATCAACGGGAGGGCCTTTACCTTTACCTTTACCTAGAAAAAAGTGTTAAGATTGTTATATTTCACCCAGGGGCCATCAAGCTCTTCTAGATCACTAACATGTTGTTAAAGGTTGAGCCTTGTGTGCCTTTATGTAAATATATATACTGATATATATTTATCTATATATATCACAGTCACTGTCCTCCCGTTGTTCATCGATTTGCTCAAGCAGGCCCAGTAACGTCTCCATCGTGAGACTTGTTGTTACTGTGTTTGGTATATTGAATACATCACGGGTAGCTTGTCAGGCTTTGCCGTGCGGGCGAGATACTCTCAGTAGCTTGCCGGGCTCTCCGAAAGGGGCGGAAGAATCGAACCCGGCTCAGCCGGCTGCGAGCAAGGCAAACGCCCTACTGCTGTGCTATCACTCAAAAAAACATTTCCCTCTAAGATTGGTTGCCTCCTTCTTTGAACCCCATCAAATGTGGTGCGGCACTCTGAGTATGGGTAGGGTGTGTCTTATGAAGTGTGTGTGAGGCTTGGTCTGAGCGTGTGGGGAGCAGCTGTGAACATGGTGGCAGTTGAGTTCTGTAGGTTTTTTTTTTTAATTTTTATTAGTGAGACACCATGAGGTACAGTTGTAGACTTACAAATTTTTGTGCTTGGGTTTCAATTATACGATTATCAAATACCCACCCCTCCACCAGTGCCCATTTCCCACCACCACGGATCCCAGTATCCCTCCCCCACCCCCATCCCCTCCTGCCTCTGTGGCAGGTGGCAGGGCATTCCCTTTTGTTCTCTCTCCTATTGAGTTCTGTAGGTTTTTGACTGCCGGGGCTGGGTCCCTTGGGGTGGGGAGGGGTCTCACCCCCCGCTCCAGGGCACCCCGTATGAAACAATGAAACAGCCTGGTGTGAGGTCCAGCAGCATGATTATGGCGAATAATGCTCAATTCTAAAGCAAGCTTCCATCATCTCGGACAAGTCACTAGAGCAGCATTACTTTTTTTTTTTTTTTTGGTTTGGGGGCAACATTTGGTGGTACTCTGGTCTTACTCCAAGTCTGTGCTCAGGGATAAGGGGAAGCTAGGGAATGAATCCAGGGATCCTCATGAAAACATGCACTCAAAAGTTATCTTCCCACACTGCAACTTTTCATTTGCAACCTTTTCTATTTCAAAATGGGGAAAAAAGCATAAGGTTAAAATCAATATTAGACTATGTATACTTTTATACATGCCACCGTGCCTGGCTGTTCCTCACCGGGGCCCCATGGAGGGGAGCGGGTTGAGCTTTCCTCCCCGCCCCGACCAGGGCTCCGGCAGCCAAAGACCTCCAGGACCAGCCACCACCATGCTGAGACCACTCTCCGCACACATGAAGGTACTGGCAGAGGGACAAATCCACGCAGGTTCCGGGGCCGAGATCTCCAAGCCTACTCGGATTGGAGTCGAGCATCCTCCACCCAGATCCTCCAAATTCCAGTAAGCGGGGGTCACACCCACCACCTGGCCCCCTGGCGCCATGTAATCCCATCAACGGCCAAGACTCAGAGACTATAAAATCCAGCTCCCGGACGAGAACAGTGCAGTCTCCTACCCCCGCGCCTGGCTGTTCCTCACCGGGGCCCCTTGGAGGGGAGCGGGTTGAGCTTTCCTCCCCACCCCGACCAGGGCTCCAGCATCTTATCAGGACATCTTTTTTATGACATCTTATTATCTCATTCCTACTTTGGACAAACTTGCAGGATATCGAATGTAGCCTGCCCACAGGGCAGAGTCTGGCAAACTCCCCGTGGCGTACCCAATATGCCAAATACCAGTAACAATGATGGGTCTCATTCTCCTAAAGAGCCTTGAATATAATCTCAGGGCTAGGATGAAAGAGACGTTACTGGGGCCTGCTCGAGGCAATCGACGAATAACAGGATGATGAAATGAAATGAAAATGAAATACTTTTATATTTGATAAATGCATTTAGTAATATAAGGTATATTAACTTCATATTCAGACAGTGTACTTCTGAATGACAGCAATCCAGTGACAACATAATACTGATTCTGATAATGTATCTATTTTATGCATAAGAAACCCATAGCTATAGTTGACTCTAGGGAGATAGCACTGTTGGTCAAGCACTTATCTTGCATGCAGCTAACCCCAGTTCAACCCCAGCTCCACACAGGGTCACCTAGTACAGTCAGGAGTGACCTGACACAGAACCAATCAAGAATTAGTCCTGAACATCACTGGGCCTGGCCCAACTCCACTCCATCCCCCAATGAAACGTATAACTACAAAACTGAAAATAAAAACCAACATTTTAAAATTATTTCACCAATAATATAGTTTATTTCATTTATTTGTAGCACTGGGGATCAAACACATGCAAGGCATGCAAGGCCCATACTGCTGAGCCACATCCCTAACCTGGCTGTTTAATTTTCAAGAGCATTGTGTGTGTGTGTGTGTGTGTGTGTGTGTGTGTGTGTGTGTGTGTATGTGCATGTGTATGTGTATGTTACTGGGGACTGAACTCAGGCCCTCATATATGCAAGGCAAGTGCTCTACTGTTAAACCACATCCCAGCACAAGACATTTCAGGGAAAAGTCAATTAAACACTTTAGGGTAAGAAGAGGAAGCCACACCTGAAAATAAATGGTCCCTACCACCTCTCTTGTCAAGTCTTTTTAATTTTTTTTTTTTTTTTTTTTTTTTTTTGCTTTTTGGGTCACACTGGCAATGCACAGGGTTTAGTCCTGGCTCTGCACTCAGGAATTACTCCTGGTGGTGCTCAGGGGACCATATGGTATGCTGGGAATTAAACCCGGGTTGGCCGCATGCAAGGCAAATGCCCTACCCTCTATGCTATGGCTCTGCAACCCCCCCCCCCGGAAATTTTTTTTTAAATCTTGGGCCACACCCAACTATGGTCACAGCTTATTCCTTGCTGTGAGTACAAGGATCACTCCCGGCAGTGTTTAGGGGACGATATGCAGTGGGGAGGATTGAGCCACAGTAAGATGAGCACATTACCCTCTATATACTATCTCTCTGGCCCTCATAACAAGTCTTTATCCAATGTAAGCTACGGATCCATGAATTTCTTTCTCTACTGATGAATCACAAATGTCTAAAATGCCTGAAAAATTAAGTATCTGGCATTTCTAATTATTTAATAACATTTAACAAATGATCAATAAATATTAAGTCTATTAAGTCTTGCCGCTGATTTGAGAATATGATACTATAATTATTCTAATGGAAAGCTATTTAGTATTGAAAAATATATGGCATCACATATTCTTTTTGTGGGGGGTGGGGGTGGGCTATACCCAGCAGGGCTTAAGGATAACTACTCCTGGTACTACACTCAGGAATCACTACTGGTGGGCATAGATGACCTCATGCTTGCTCACACTTCCAACCCCATTTGGACAATGATAGTGAAGAATCAGAACATACTTTCAACCACAGATTGTTAAAAATATATCATGGGACATATGGGATGCTGAGGATGTACCAGGGTAGGCTACATGCAAAGCAGGTACAGCCTTACCCCCTATACTATCTCTCCAGCCCCTATTCTTTTAGAATTAGAAACCAA